CTGAAAGGCCAAATTGCGAGAATAAAAAGAAAATAGGGTGGGAAGGAGGGTGTGTTAAGAAAAAAAAATGTGATATATTCTTTCTTGAGATTTGTAAAATTTTGAAGATATTTATGAAATATTAATATTTCTTGTGGGCCGTTAAAAATCTATCAGCACCTAATCTAATTCAGTCTCCTAGCTCTCCTATAGCTCCTAGCTCTCAACCCTGACGGATGGATATAAAAAAATATTAGTCCACCTGCACCCTCAATAAAATCAGTTAGAATTAAGTGCCAAGCTTTCGGTAATTTCTTTAAAAGCACTCTGTAGTCTGCTCCCCCTTATATTCTTCTTCATAACTATCTTTCTATCTCTTTAACATGTCCTAATCTAGAAAAATGCGTGTAAACAGTACATCTACACATGAGGGGGGGGGGGGTTCAGAGTTTTCATGAGCCCATTTTGCTATGTTAATGACATTCATGACATTGATAAATCAGATTAGCGATCAATTTAGTTTTTGACAATATTTCATCCATGCCTTTTTTGTTAATTTTTTCATACTCATTTTGTAAGTCGATATAATGTTGATTCATGATTCCCTTTACGTTGACCACCCCGGGAATTAATGGGGGTTCGTTTAACCGTTTCCCCCTGGGGTAATTGCGGTAACTTTGAATCTGATATCTGCGACTGCTTAGGGGGGGGGAGGGATATGACTTATTGACATATATATAAATAATAAATATATATGAATATATATTTAAACATATTTCCAAATAAGTTTTTACAGTTTACAGTTTACAGCTCCTGAATTTGAGAATAATGCCAATATATAATTTTAATAATTAATAATTTTAACACGTTTGTAAAAGTGAATATTGGCAAATTATATTTATTACAAATCATTAATTGAGTTAGTTTTTTTTGACAACCAGTTTAAAAAGTCTGAATTTCTTGTGCTTTTTTAACTTATGTTTTATTTTTTATGTTTGATTTTGATTGTTGTTACATCGTTAGAACTGACCCAGACTGAAATATATTTTCAAATGAGTAAATAATACCTATTTCATTTCAAGTATACACCAAATAAAAAAATTAGGCTTTTTCTAATAGCAATTTCAGCTGTGAACCGTTGCTCTTTAAAGCTGTCATTTTTATTTGAAACCGTATTTCACGGATTTTTCGGTTTAACGCATTTTTGAAATAAATAAATGGGAATTGTGCGAATTTGCCAACAAAATTGGACCGATCGGTTCAGCCGTTTCGATATTTATAGATTCAAACAGACAGGCAAACAAGCAAAGTATATATATACATATACATATATATATTTCAGTTTTTAACTTCACATTTTTATTAAAAAAAAAAATTATACTAAACATAATGTTTCACGTCTATCATGACGATCCTCAGTAGTTACAATTCTTTGAACAACTAAAATTCCAAGTGTATATATATATATATGTTATAAATAAACCTACTTTGTAGCAAATGTTCCAGTGAGAAGAGAATGGAAAAGAATTATGGTTTCATCTAAATCCCAGATAAATACACGTTCAACCTTAAATACAAAAAATACAAAAAAGTTTAAGAAAATTTTAATTTTACAGTGAAACTTATAAACATTTGAAATAGGAATTCGACATGCAAATTTGTGTCTGTGTACATTGCGCAATTGCAGTGTTTCATGATAATAGAACTTTTTAAAATCATAAATTGAGTCTTACAGTCGTCATTTTCCAAGTTTTATGGGTCTGACCGTAAATTAAGATGGACAAACATTTCAGATTATTGTGAAGCAAAAATCATCAATCGAAGATATAGAAATGTAAATGGTAAGACTTCTCACAAATGATGAGATGCTAGATTCATGTTTTTTACTCCCACTGTCCCGATGCATATCTGATTTGCTGGAAAACGGATAAACGTGAGAGACAAAATTCACGGATTTTCTTCCAAATTGATTTCCCGGATTTGTGTTTACCTGGTTCTCCGGGTCCGGAGAACCACTGTTTCTCCGCTTACTCCGTCCTCGTGATCCTAAATATAGGATTTATATATTATATATATATACTAGCTTGGGGACCCAGCGTTGTCCAGGTTACTCATTATCTCCGCCATTTACCCGCCCTTGGTCTTTGATTACGATTTTAGGTATTGTTTCTCTATAACCCACTCAATTTAGAATTTCAGAACCAAGCTACCATTCCTGTGGTTCTCCCGAGTTCCCCCCTCAAAATATTTGAGGCAAATTGGTCCACGGGTTCCTGAGTTTATGATCGTACATCCAACAAACAAACAGAAGATTACTACTTTATATATAGATTATAGATGTTAGAGTTTGAACCAATTGAAATCTATTTCGTCAAAAAAAAAAAAATGGCGCTCGTCTGACCTATCTTACAAAAACAGAAAAATAAGAATATTTATATCTTCATTTTTTTCTAAGTTTCTAATATCTTTATATTTTTAACTTGAATGTGTAAACCTTTGACATTTTAGACGTAAACTGTTTGATCTAGAAGAATTGTTCAGAGCTTGGAACTTTAGAATGGTGGATATCGAGGTCGATACTTGATCCTCTCTTTTTCATAATATCGAGACTAACTTAATCTTGTACTTGTATCCTGAAAAGTGTATAAAATTCAACCAATCAGAGTCGGGTATCAGAAGCCGGGAAATTTGAAATTTTGTGCGCCATTTAAGTTTAATATGCAGAAACGTGGGCACTCTCTAATTTTGAAAAAAAAACAGTTTTTGGATTTTCTCTACTATGTTCAAAAAAGAATGGATTAATCAACAATTAAAAGTGTCCACATTGGATATTCGGATTAAGCAGTCGGGATTAAAGGTATCCCATTCTAAAGTTCCTAGTTCAGTTCTTTTATTTTCCTATGTTTAAACAAATGTTTTTAAAGAACCTGTAGTTTTGAGAAGATCTGAGTCTATGGTTGCTCCCTCTGTGAGTGAGGATGGAGGAGGTATATTGGAGAGCTGGTAGATGGTTGGAGCACTACTAGGTGAAGGAGAACTGGACCCAGCCATATAACTAGGATTAATAAGTTATATTTAATGCTAAAATATGACGAAAAAAGGGAAATGGAAGTTTTTAATGTCTGATTCACATCAACAACCGGGAAAACTTCTTTTAAGATATTCTTCTTTTTCTATCTTAAATAATAACTTGATTTGCGGATTTATAAAGCAGAAGCAAAGAAGTTCAGCCGTCGTCGTATATATAAATACAATGAAGATGACTTTCTATTTTTTTTATTTCTTCCACGCTTTTAAACAGCAGAGACAAGAGACAAGAGAAGTGGTTAATTAACAGCTTCTCTTTTTGTTTACTTGTAAAATCGGTTAATCATAAAAAGTCGTCTTTATTGTTTTAATATAACGCTGACCACTGTATATTGTTAACATATGACACGACGATATCTTTCTCATTGTTTCTCAGATAAAGGTTCAAATAGTACCACCTTGAATCTGACAAGCAATTCTTCAGTTTGGAGGTCATTCGTTCGCTGGTCAGCCCATTTAAAGTTAAAATACCCCCCCTCCTTCGAAAAACACTTTTACATTGTACGAGACAAATAATATTAAATTGAATTTAAAAAGAAACATTTTGCTCTAAATATATTTAACGAAATTGCAATTAAAGATTAATTGGTGAATTAAACATAATAAGTTTGATAATCAACAAGAAATGTTAAATTTTTATTAATTTGCAATTTTTAAAAAAGAATTTCACTTGTCAAGATGTTTGCAGGTCACGATGCTAATTTCGTTTGCAAAAATTTAGAATTTTGTGGATCAGAGAAATATTCTTGGAACATTTTTTGCGCAGTTTTAGGAGAGATTTCCCCAAACCCATTTCTCCACTTCCCCCCCCCCCCCCCCCCCCCCCCCCCCCCCTCCAATCCTGCCTCTCTTGTCTTCAAATCTGACATTTTCAAAACTAAAATGTTTTTCTTCGCATGGAAAACTTCCGGTAAAACATGTTTAAAGGAGAGTAAATTAAAAATTTTAACATTTTAATCTTTTTTTTTTAATTTGAAGTACGCTGTCAATAGGAACGAATCTTTTTCACTGTGGTAAATAGTATTATTAATCTGTATGGATTAAGCAAATCTGTATGGATTAAGTAAGTCTGTTTGGATTAAGTATGCCAGTTTGTATTAAACATATCTGTATGGATTAAGTAAAAAAGTATGTATTAAACATATCAGTATGGATTAAGTATATTTGTATGGATTAAGCATATCTGTATGGATTAAGTATACCTGTATGGAATAAGTATATTTGTATGGATGACGCATATCTGTATGGATTAAGTATACCTGTATGGAATAAGTATACCCGTATGGATTAAGTAAATATGTATGGATTAAGTATATCTGTATGGATTAAGTATATCTGTATGGAATAAACCTATCTGTATAGATTAATTATACTTGTATGGATTGAGTATACCTGTATGGATTAAGTTTACCTGTATGGATTAAGTATTCCTGTATGGATTAAGTATATCTGTATGGATTAAGTATACCTGTATGGAATAAGTATACCCGTATGGATTAAGTAAATATTTATGGATTAAGTATATCTGTATGGATTAAACCTATCTGTATAGATTAATTATACTTGTATGGATTGAGTATACCTGTATGGATTAAGTATACCCGTATGGATTAAGTATTCCTGTATGGATTAAGTATATCTGTATGGATTAAGTATATATGTATGGATTAAGTATATGTATGGATTAAGCATATCTGTATGGATTAAGTATACCTGTATGGATTAAGTATGCCTGTATTCATTAAGTATATCTGCATGGATTGAGTATATCTGTATGGATTAAGTATACCTGTATGGATTACTGGATTGGTAGAAGTATCCTCCATAGTAACTGGATCCATAATCACTAGCTTTACTCGAGAATCCACCTGGAGCAAGGTAAAAGGATTAAATCCATGTTTTAATCATTTCAGGATTTTTATATTTCATCAAACTCCAAATTTCAAATCCCTATATCTTGTAACCTGATGGTGTAAACCTTAAATATTTCAAGTTGCAGAATAAATAACTTGAAAGGTTTATGATATTGGGTAGCATAGAAATAGAGATAAGAAAATCAGAGTTTGTGTCAAAGACTCAATTTCTTTATTTGAATTTTTAAGAACTTCAAAATAATTTGTTAACCTGGTGCTTGAGCCCCCGCCCAGGATGGATATCCAGACTGATAGTATTGACTGTAAAGACTAGGAGAAGAGTACAGGTCGCTGTACCGGTTGGAGAGATTGTATGGACTAGAAGAGTTGGCGGAGAGAGGAGCTGAACCTGAACCTCCAGTACTGTTAAAGTATGGATAGATGGTTTGTGATGTTTCCGAATCCTCCATGCTAGAAACTGTACTACTCATTTCATAGTATGTAGGTTGGATGAAGGATGAATCCTGCTCCGGGTGAGGAGAATCTGTGTCTCCTTCTGGTAGAGCTGAAAGATTGAGAACGTCTCCACTGGACAGATCTAGGTGTATCTGGAGCTGACCAGACTGTAGATCAAGCTTGTAACCAGGCTCGGAGAGGTCGGAGAGACGGAAAGACGAGGACTCGTCCTTGTGGCTCGGCGAGGACGAATCTAGCGGAGTAAAGTGGGTTTCTGACTCCGGCACTGGTGAGCAGACTTCAGAGAGACGGAACAAGGGAGGAGAAACACTAGAGAACCTGGATTCCTCCGGGGGATAACTTGGATCCTCTAGACTAAACCCTTGAGGACTTGACGACGTAAACCGTCCTTCGTCTGAGAAAGCACTGACAAGACTAGGATGCTCGAAAGTTGGACTCGAAGTTCGAAAAGCTAAATGTGGCGAATGAACCCGTCCTAGCTCGTGGTCCGAACTGTGGTTCACATAATCCTTGAATACGAATGGACCGGTTGGTGATCTAGGATAGGGAGGAGGAGAGGTGCAGGTTGGTTCGTCCTTCTCTTCTCCTGGTCTTGGGTTCCTGTTCTCCTGGGACCTAGGAACAAAGAACATGAATTACCATATGAAAACGATGGATTGAACATGTGCGGTGTATATATATTCTGATCCCGTAGGATAAACTAAACCATCCTTTGACGTGAAATTGTCTGGAATGAAAAGAGAGAGACAAGATTAGGTTCAGACGATCCAGGGGACAAAAGAGCACTGAATATTTGCCTCCCATTGTTCAACCCAAAACCAATAATATTTTATGCAAATTTTAGGATTAAGAGAGTGTACCAAAGATTACATTTTAGTGGAATAAACCCATGAATATTAGGAGTTTTTGCTAATTATATTTCCTGATTTAATGTTCAGTAAAACTTCACTTTCGAACCCATTTCACCATTAATTAAATGTAAATTTCTAGTATTTTCTATTAGTCCTAATTTCAAGGCATTTATTTGAAATACAAAAGTTATATGGGGATGATATCTTACGCTTTTTATTTATGGATTTTGAGATTTGAAAATTTCATCTTTAATTATTTTATTCCGAATCAGCCAAGACAGCGAGTGGGTTTAACATTTTTATAATTATGAAAAACTGAGCAAATTTGTCTATATTTCTTGAAACGACGTAAGGGTGTTTAAACTTAAGAATTGAGTCGTTATTACAAACTCAAATTGTTAAATCCTTAAATCTTTTCAACCTGATTGTGTAAACCTTTTTTAAATTAAACAAACTATTTGATTCAGCACAATTCTTAGTTTGAAATATATAAGGTCTACGACAGGTTGCAAAGATAAATTAGAATTTGAAAATCAAAGTTTGTGACTCAATTGTATATAAAATAAACTCATATACTGCTCTGGTACAATTCTTATTTCTTCTGTCTGGAAAAAAATTATTTAATATCGCACAACAGGTGTTTTAAACTTATCAACATTTTAAGAGTGTATTTACAAGTAAAAATCCACCACCAAGAAAACACGAATAAAGCTACACACTATAAACCCCCTGCCTGATAAACAGTCCAAACCTTCTCCTTCAATATCATCCATGGGTTGGGTCATAATTCTGCCGCCAAACTTTAGACCCGTAGTTATTCTACAATCAAACCGTCCGACCGGAGAAAATTACGGATAAGGACGGATTGGGACTGACAATATTTTATTTGTTAGTGAGTTTTTTTTATTTTCAAATGACTGACTTTATATGGATGTTTAAAACATGTAATTAATATATTTATTTTGGACGAATAAGAATAATTAAGAATAACTAATATTTTTTTTACTAGAAAGTAAAAATTGTTCAATAAATTTTGTTTTAACCCCGGAAACTTTTAACATTTGTTTTGAGATGTTTTCTTTTGTGTAACCTCGAACAGACAAAGCTTTCTTTTCTCATGAGATGCACTTTTTTGGAAAATTTAAGAAACTCAAATTCTTTAAATTCCTTCAGAATGAATAATGTTTTAGTATTTGAACATTTAACCGTCTAAACTTATTTTAATTTTATTTTTAGCAGGAATAAAGATATTGGCGGATTTTTAAGACTAAAAATTGCGGATCTTTATGATTTAAAATTACGATTTTTGTAACTCAGAGTTGCGGATTTTTTAATTTTGAATTGGGGATTTTTTTACTACAGCCATGACTGTACATTAGACCTCACCTGAGCCTGGGTTAGAGAGAGAGTAAAAAAGAGAATGTGCTAGAACAAGAAAACTGTGCAATTTGAAAACTGTGCTCTGTGAAATATTTGAAGTACCAACCCCTCGTCCGAACAGTGTTTGGCTAGGGATGTCATAAAAATATTATGAATTATCACTTTCTGCCTTCAATACTGGGCAATTATATACGTAGTATCACGTTACTATCTAACTATCGGAGCTAAAATTTCAAAATAGTGAAATTTTGCACTCGCAGCAAAGACTAGGTTCTCAGGTTTCGGAGAACTGGAAACTACTACTGGATCTAGGCCGCCAACTTTACTCCGCCCCTCATCTCAAACCCGCTCTCCCCGCTCCGAACCCAACCCTATCCGGTCTTCTCATTGGTCGCTGCTAGTCACGTGGGTTCATGCAGAGCCCTCATTGGTTGGCGTGTATAAAAATAACGATGTGAGGGAGAAGAAACCGTTGCAATGTTGTTCAATTATTTTCAACCTAAACTAAATCTGACAGACGTCCCAGACTCTTAAAAACATCTCTTAGCAAGAAAAAAAATCGATAATAAAAAAATTTGCATTGATATAAAAAATCTTTTTTTTAATGATCTAGAGTGAAGTTAAAAATTCTTAGCACTTTTAAACAAACCGCGAGCATGTAATATTATAAATATATCAAAGGATGCATTTTATAATTTGTTTGTTATTATTATAAATATTAAACATTAAACAGACTTAAAAATGCATTGATCCCTGCTGCAGTATAAATATAATAAAAATAAAAATGTTTATATAATTTAAAAAACACATATGTAAGTCGATTAAAACGAATTTCTTTCTACGGAATTTTAAAAAAAGATTTAAAAATTAAAAAATCAAAATTGGTTTCTGTGTAAATGTGAAAGTAGGTAGAGTATCCCGCGTTGTCCAGGTTTACCCGCGCCAAGGGCAGCCGTAGTACATTTATCCGAGCCGGGTCAACCTTTCCGGTCCCAGTTTATACTTTATCGCCCGGACATTGGGTGAATAAAGCAGATACTCATTAGGACTAGCCGGTGCAACAAGGTTGACGCGGTCAGACTTTAGGTTTAATTTACTTTTACTAAAGGGTGAGAGGTGCGTGGTATTAAATTATGGTTTAATGATTATTGTTCCTATGTCATTCCCTCGGGGTACCCACGGATTTCCTGTAAAAAAATATCATCCAATTTGGCCAACTATTAATAAACATTTATAATATATAAATATATTTGAGTGAAGAGCTTTATTATATGGATACTAGTAAATGTCGTACTTTTAAAAGTTCCTCCCAAACTGTATGAACCCACCTGGCTCTAAATGCCACACAGGGACACAAGCCACTATAGTTTCAGTAAAGGTAAAAATTTCCATTTACTGTTATAGCACCGATGTAAGGATTTATCTCTAATTGGATAATGCGCTAGATAGAAAGATAGATGTTACTGCCATGCAATTTTATTGGTTCAGAATAGACACCAAACACATGTAGTTTAAAATGTACGTAATTCTATATATCACATGATTAAGCTTATCATGCTATTATTCATTTAAATCGCTGTTGGAATGAATAATGATTTTTATACTTAGAAGTTTACAACATTGATCATTAATAATGTACAACATACTACAAGTTTATAGAATATTGTATTACCCGAAACTTATTACACTACAAGCTTTTTCTGCAGCATCAAAAGGACAATTTAGCTGGAAACTATATTTTGTCTGAAATTTTTTATCAGTCAAAGTTTTTCGCAGATCTACGTACAATCTGGTGAATATCCAGGGTTGATCTTAATCTCTGTAATCTCTGTACCTATGTTGATTTAGAGGAGAGAGAAGGATATAGTTTTGTGGTTCCTAAAAACCTGGAGAACACTGAGGAGTTGGACCCGTCCTAATCTCATGGAGTATATATAATTTGTAGAGATGGTTTTACATTTCTTGTTCGACAACGTTTTAGAACTCCACTAGACCATTACTGACCTCGTAGCTTCTTTATTTTTGATTTTATTGTATGAGAGGTAAGAATGAGCAAAGCAAACTTATTTATTTAAAACTAGAAATTCAAAATATTTTTCTGTAAAAAGGAAATATGACTAAAATTTAGATTTAAGATTTCTATCTAAACTAAAATTTAAATATTTTGCGTTTATTTCTTAAAATCTACTTTTACATACAAATTACAGGGGTTTAGCTTTAAAAGGTTTCAAACTTTGACTTTTTCATTTTCATTTTCAGATTGCAATGATATAGGGATTAGATTTGTTTTATTGTGGAGAAAATATTTCGAACTGTTGATGTCTCTAAATGTATTCTTATTTTTGAATACTCTGAATACACCCTATCCCCCTGGATCCAGCTGTGCTAATGTGTGTTCTACCCCCAACCCTCAGTTTTTACGGTTGTCCATGCGTCCGTTAAAGTGTCTGTCAATCTGTATGTGTTATTAGCTGTCTTCTCGTCTGTCTGTCATTTCGTTAAATTAACGGTAATTACTCTCATCAAACTCTAATGGTGTATACCATCAGGTTTTAAATATATGGGAATTAACCTGATTTTTCATGTCTGCTTTCCAATGCTGTCATGATTTTGCTTTCTTCTTGTTATTTTTGTTTTCTAGTAAAGGAAGTTTTGTTTTAAAATTTTAGGAACTTTTAGAGTTTTTCTCTTCTAAATCTTAGTAGATATACCTATACTTATAATCAAGGTTATAATACAAAGAAAGTTATTTCAGAGGTGTACGCATCTTTTGTACTGCAGTGTACTTACTCAAAGTGGTAATGTAAACACAAGACGGATGTCACAGCCTGACATGGGATCCATCTTCCACATAAAAAATCAATGAAATATTCTGGTCATAGGAAACTATTATGTGAATTATCAAAATTATGAAAATTAAATGCTTTTATCCTCCTCGTATACTAAACGAACACTGATGTATCTATTCCTGACCATGTACTCTGCATTTTCAAAGATCAATCTGTATATTACAGAAATATTTATTTTCATTTAAGCAAAAATAGGGTTTCAATGAAAAAACTTGTTAAAACTGTAAACACATAATTTCAACTTGTCCGTTAAATAGAGAGGGATGAATGGTTCACAATGGTACCCTTAAACCTCTGTTTCACTACGAAGGCACAAGATATTTTTTTTTAAGTAGATTATTTTAATCGCGATTTCTCTGGAAAGTGACTCGCGGAGTTTGCTAATGCAACAATCGAGGAAATTATCAGAATTCAGCATTGTTCCATAACTTTTTACCATAGGGACTTCTATAGCATTTTTTTTTCAAAATGACGACTTCATATCCGACCAGGAGTATTTGTTTTCCATTTGACTATTGCAATCCACTGCACTTTTATCGTGTGCAGGATTACATTTTCACATATTTGATATGTGTACTGTATGAATAGGCCATAATCTCTTAATATCCTTTATCAGTAAACTGTCCTAAGTGTACACTAAGAGCCAGCCAGCCCCCTGGCTATAACTCTTCGCTCATATATAAATATTTGTATATATGTTCACTATATCTTGCTAAACGACTGGAGGGAACCAATGGGTACCTCTAATGTGATGTTGGCTGTAGGCATCAGACAAAGGTTACACGGCATGTGAATTGAACAAATGAAAAGTTACGTGAAATTACGGCTGCTGTCTCTTTAAACCTTTTTTTCTCTACAAGTATAAAAGATCAAAAGATAACATAACAATAAATGAGTTGATGCCAACATCTTTATATCCTTGCAACCCGATGTCATAGATCGTTGAAATTTCAAGCTATGAATTATGTTAAATAAAAGTTTAAAATATAAAATGTTTACACCGTCAGGTTACAAAGATATCGTAATAGAAAATTTTTATTTGCGGCAAGGACTCAGTTCCTTTATAATAGTCTTCGTGTTACACCCAAGAATGAGAGAAGCTTAAAAAGTAACATTTAAAACTTTTTAAAAGTAATATGCAAGATTTAAATCTAAATTGAAAGAAAATTTATTTTTTTGAATTGCCTTTTATGTTTATAGGTTTTACTTCATACATGATTAACCATTTCTAGTTTTTATATTTTATAAAATATTTGAATTTGTGTTTAGTCTAGAGGGTCTAGCTCTAGAGAGCTCATGGAGTAACCCAACCCGGGGTCATCTTGCACGGATACGGAGAGATATATTGAAGATATATACGGATACGGAGAGATATATTGAAGAGATATATACGGATACGGAAAGAGATATATTGAAGAGATATACACGGATACGGAGAGATATATTGAAGAAAATATCGATTGTTAATCCAACAAAAGATGTGAAACAAGAGACGAATATGAGGTTTAAAAAGATAAAAATCTACAAATATGGATCAAAACTATATATTCGTGTGCATATTTTAAAAATAGATTTAACTTTATACATGAATCTGGGTCCATATCCGTCCGGTTCTAATTAGAGCCCACCCCGGAGAAGGATATTCTTACCCGTCCTAGTCTCCGGGTTGAGGATGTGAGGCGTGTAAACAATCTCCAGGTGCTAGGTTTTATACACATGCTAATCAAATCCATCCTTATGACCCCGCTTAAATATTAAAAATAAAAATACTTTTCCTAAGCGTAAACAAATACTTTAATTTTGTGACAAAGTTGCAAAAAATTTGCGTAAAATATTTAGACAAGGAATCATTTCTTGGGTTTGAAACTTGAACCCGGAGAAGTGAGTGTTGTGTCCTGTATTCTAAGGTCTACCCGGAGTACGAGAGTAACCCAACCCTGTCTCTCTACTCTCATCTAACCTGGAGAATCAGGTTTCAAGACTTAAGAGACAAATTTGCATTAGAGCTTTCACTTCTTCTTCAGAGTAATACATTCACAGAGTATAGAAACATTTTATCTCAAAATATTAAAAAAAAATTAAATAGATTTAGGACACTAAAGAGACTCTAGACGTAGTTGCAAGTTATCTCCAATTTGAAACCACAATTTAATCTGCGGAATTATTGTGAACAAAATATATCTTTTAAAATGTGCGAGACACAAATACAGTAAAATCCGTGAAATATTTCCTATTCTTGATAAAATCTGTTGTATCGATTTAGAAATGTTTTCAACTTCTTATACACAGAATCTAGAGTTTTTACTTTTTCTTTCAACTCCCTGAATTCCTTCCCACAACTAACATGACATTGGATTTTCTTAAGACAAACTCGGCCTGTATTTACATTTAGAACAGTAAATCTAATATGGCCGATTTTATGTCGACAACTTAAATT